ATCGGAAATAGAGTTTTTTTTAAGAATTTAAAAAAAAATTTTTGTTTTTTGTTTTAAGAATTTTTGTATAAGAAAAAAAAAAAAAAAAATAAATAAATAAATAAATAAATAAATAAATAAAATAAAATAAATAAAAATAAAATAAAAATAAATAATAATAATAAAATTAAAAATGTTGTAAAACCTTTAAGCATTTAAAAAAAAAAAAAAAGTATTAAAAAGTATATAATAATAAGAAAGAAATTTTTTAAACATGGGTGGGTCGATATTTTTTTCTTTGTTAAATATCATTATTAATTGGGACCCAATAAATAGTTTTTATAAATTGATCATATAAATGATGATGCAAATAAATTTAATAAAAATTGACATTCAGGGTCATGTATGATGCAAATTGTATATATTTTTCTTTTTTTACGATACAAAATTGTAGTACATGTTTACAATTACCATGGGAAAACTTATACCAGACAAAAAAAAAAATAAAATATAATTATTTTAATTTTCACAAAAAAAAAACATCATGGTGTAATTAAATAACCAATTAATCCTACTATTTAATGATATCATTGGCCCTCATATTCTAAGTTTTAAGCATTTCTGGTACCCTTTTTATGATTACAATAAATAATTTATATTAATTTATATTAATTAAAAAAAAAATAAAATAAACGTTATATGCCAGATTGTTTACTTATAAGTATTATATCTCCATTTTTATTTACTCCGATTAATAAATATTTTTGATTTAATAATTTTTTTGCACCTGATAGAATCTGATTGGTTAAAATATTAATTAAAAATGCATATTTAATAAAAGATCATCGAAACAAAAACAAAGAATGGGTTTGAAATATGGTCACAAAAAATGTAAGTGTAAATTTCAATAATACATTTCTGTAATAAAATGTTCGCTATTTAATTGAATTTTACAATGGGTTGGTTTATGGGTTTATATATTTTAGTACATATAATACTACATAAACATATAATCCATTCTGTATATTTACGTATATATTTACTTATATTTACCTATATTTACCTATATTAAAAGGTAATAACAAAAAAAAAAAAAAAAAAGTTTTGTTTATTGATTCATTGTAAAATACCGCAATCGGTTAAGAAATTTAAATTACATTTTAAAAAAGGAAAATTTGATTGATAGAAGTTTTTTTTTAAAAAAAAAAAATTCTTGAAACAGTAAATTTTATTAAGAATATAAATTTAGAATGAAATATTTTAAAAAATTATGTTAATTATAGTTTAAAATAAGGAATTCTGGCATCAAAAATTTCAAATTGAAATTGATTGCTTGATTAAACAAAGAAGGTATTTTGTTTACCTGGCCCATGGTATTCTTATGTTTACAGGAGAAAATAAATTATGTACGACAAAAATCACAAGGAAATTTTAAAGCTTTGTAGATCGGAAATTTTAAATGTGGGAAATTTCAATGTGGAAATTAAATAAACATGCTTAAAATTATAAATAAAGAAATTCCTTGTTTAAAGTCACACATTTCTTTCTTAGATTTATAAGTACATCATGTAATTCATTTACTTTTTTAAAACAATTAAGCTCATACTATTTGCAAGTAATAATTATTCAACATAAGGGTTTATAATACATAAATAAAAACTTATATTCTAGATTTCGGATTCCCCATTGTTAAAAAAATTCTATGCGCGTGCGTAATATTTTTTTGTTTAAGCACAAACACGACATATCACATCGCTTATTCTTTTACGATATGTATTGTTATGTATTGTATATAAACTATATAAACCACGTTATTAATTTGTGTATCACACAGCTCATTTGACGTAACATCACGATTTGCTGTGTAATTTTCCGTTGCAGCGATTGCAATGATTGGCCACTTTATTAAACTTCAAAAAATTAATGCCGGTTTACAGTGGTACAGAAACGCTATATCATATATTCACTGCAGAATTATATACATACATTTTAAAAGTATTAAGAGGTTTATATAACTTAAAATCCAAGATTCCTCAATTATAAAAGTTATAAGCATTTATAAAATATTTAATAACAAGTTGATAATACTTTTAACAAGTTGGTAATACTTTTGAAGAATTATTAATTAAATAGCATAATTATTTAAGATTAAATAAGTTGAAAGAAGTAATTTTTATATATTTTTATATACGTTATCAAAATTCAATATAATTTGGAATTTAAATTTGGGAATTTGGGAATTTGGATTTTGGGATTTGGGATTTTGAAATTTTGGAATTTTGGAATTTTGGATTGGCAATTTTGAATTTGGGTAGCATGTATAATAATTTTAAAGGGTAGTTGATATTATTAAATATCAGTGATGTGAAGTGATATGAAATGACACAAATGACATTAGTGACATGACACATGTCATTTTGTCATTTCGGAGAGTAAATGATAAGCGATATTTGTCATTTGAAATTATATCATGTAATTTTTAATGCCGGCCAAAATTTATTAATATATTTATTATTTTGATAATCATTTAGCGTCATTTAAAATGTACAGTATATTTATTTATTTAAAATTTATTATTGAACCATATAAATTGGAGCTTCTAAAAACAATTCAAGTAATTACCATTTAACTAATGGATTATCTGCTGGATGAGTATCATGCCTTCCTATTTCAAAATCATAAGGCTCAACTTCTCTGCTATCTAAATTATTTGAATCATTTTCTGTATTAACCATTTCAATCCAACTTTTAATTATTTTAGTCCATTGCTCAGGATTAAGAATATTATTATTGTCATATTCTTCAAAGGTATCATTAACATTACAATCATCAATAATAGAAGTTTCTTCTAATTCTTCAGTATCACTATCATTAAAAGCATTAAATGTAAATTTACTATCATCATTGTTTTTATCATTATCCTCTGATTCATATTCTTGTATTGGTTTAGCAATATGCAATCATTTATATTGTCTTTCAGAAATTTCTATTTCTTCATGTTTTCTTTTGCATAATATGTCACTTTGCAATTGAGCCATAGCCAAAACTTTTTTATGCTACAAAATATTAAATTGTATTAGTATTGATTTTACACAATAAATCATTCGAGTAAATATATAAAATGTAGCCAATTTTGGCATTTTAAATGCAAAAAAACCCATATTTGACCAAAGACACTTTACTGAAGTTGCATTAACACAGATTCCAAAAAGTTGCAAAGCTAATCGTGAAAGTTCTGGTGCCAATCCTTTTGCAGATTCCCAGAAATCAATAATATTTTCTTCAAATTGATTATAAGTTTCAGGATTAAAAGGGAATAACTTTCACTGATATAATAAATAATCCTGAAGAATTCTTGTTGCCATTTTATTAAACCATACTTGATAGTAATATATGAGCCACTATTCAAAATGTATATAAGAAATCTTTTTAGTAGAGAAATTAAATTTTGAAATTTGATATTTTGGATGAAAAAGTAATAACAAAGGTTGTTTCTGCTATGTCCAACATGATTCCAATCTTCCTATTATACAATTACCAAATTTTTCATTCTTGTGAAAGGAAAACATTTTAATTATTTAACCAAAATAGTGTGTAATTTTATATAA